AGAAAAACCTTTTATAAATATACTTTTTTAATTTTTAAATTATTATTTTTTACTATTAGCTAAAGTATAATAATTTTATTTTTAATATTTTAATTTTTACTTTTAAAGGTAAAGCTTAATTAAACTTTTTAAAAATAAGTAATATTTTTATTTATAAGCTTTAAAATCTTAATTAATTTTTATTTAGCCTTAATAATTAATAGCTTTTTTTATATATAATCTAAGGGGACTTAAATAAAAATATAATTATTAAGGCTTTCCTTAGGTTTATTAAATTTATTTATATTTTTTCTATTAGTAATAAGGGCTAGCCTTTTACTACTTATAAAGAAATACTTTAAGTTATTAATTCCTTTTTAAAGGTTTTTATTATAAATATTTTTTTATAATATAATTTATACTTATATAACCTTAGGGTCCTTTTAGCTTACTTTTTTAATAAATATAAAAGCTTTTACTATAATAAAAGTCCTAGTAATATTTAATTTATCTTTTTTATTATAAAATATATTAACTAATATTATTTTAGTTAATTAAGTAGTTTTTTTTTTTATTATTTAATTTCTTAAGGTCTTTAGGCCCCCCCTTAAAGTTAATATTAAAAGTAATAAAGTTTTTAAAAATAGTATTTAAATATAAATAAACTTATTTTATTACTATTAAAAAAAGCTAGAAGGTATATTATACTAAGTAAAAGTTAATAACTATAGCTATATTTAATATTATATTTTATTTAGCCTACTATTATATATTAATTTTATTAATTTAATTTATAATTTTATTTTTAATAAAAAATTTCCTTTTTTTATTTAAGTTAATAATTTTTTTTATATTATTAAAAATAAAAATAATAAAGCCTTTTAAAGTTATTTATACTATAATTATTATTACTATTATACTTAATTTTACTTTATTAAAGTTAAGTAAAAGTATTTTATTTATACTAAGGGCTTTTTTAAAGTATTTTTTTTTCTTAAGGGTAAAGGGGAGGACTATAACCTCTTTTATTTTTAGGCCTAAGGGGGTTACCTTCTTTAGTAGTTAAAGGGCTATTACTAGTCCAGGGGTAATAGAGTTTATTTTATTTTAATTATTTAAAGGGATTATAAATATTTTTATCTCTTTAAAGTCCCTAGATAAAACTATAAATAAAAAAATTATAGTTGTTTTATTTAATAATTAGTTAAACGGGAAGGAGTTTTTAGTAGTTAGGTACCCAAAAGGTAGGGTACCTGTAGATGTAGGAGGGAAGCTTGATTAAAAAGTATAACCTTGTTATCTACACATAATCAAGTAGGAGTAATCCTGCAAGAGTATTGGACTTATGGTGGTTTGGTATTGCAAAATCACAACATAGCTTATATCCCAGCACTACACCAATCGTCGCTCCCTAAACATGCGTTCGAATATGTTGAGAGGACCGCTTGCCAGTCGAGATCGCTGGGTCCTATATGATCCACTTCTATCACCGCGTCCTGCAAAACTTCATGCCCAGCACTCGGAGATGTGGCGTTGTTACCTAAGATTGATGCATTTTCTCCAATGGTAACCTCTGGATGTGCTTCGATGTTGATAGTGCCGAAATGTGGAATATAGATTAGCAACTTATTAGGAGTCTCGCCAGTTTCGCCCAAGCTCTGAGGTTGTGATTTCTGGCTATAAGTTCTTTGATCAACCGACCGAGATGCAGTGGTTAGGTAGTATCGCCCGTTATCGGAATCGCTCTCGGCCGCGAGGAGAGGTCGGATGATCGCAGAAATCTTCTGAGCTACGATATCGTGATTGGCTCGCGCTTTCATCTCCATGATCTCTAGAATATAGTCAAGCAATCCTCGATCCCTCAGTCGCTGATGACGCAGTGAATCCAAAGCAGTGAAGCTGCCTCTTCCGACGCAGTTGTTGTCACTGCTAGTTTGATGCTGATGCCGGGCATCAATATGCGCGATGCACAGCGTCACGCTGGCAATGAAAACTACAAAATCAATCATCCGGCAATAATACGGAAGAGGATTGGTATTGTGGAAGGCCACGAAATCAGAGATGATGGTGCGGCTTGCGGCACTAACAGTCATCTTGCTGTAATCATGATTCGGACCGTCTGCCGAAGAAGGTTGTAACATGAATGGTAGATGTAACTGTAGTAAGAGGTTGTGATGCGTAAACTGATGCATGAGGCGGATCGAATCTTCGAATATCTTTACTTCATTGTCGGGAACGAAAGCAGTGTTATGTATCGTTACAGACCACTGTGGCGACATCAGGGCTGCGGCGTCCTGGAGCATCTTGTCAATCTTGTAAGTTTCTAACAGTTCGCTCGCCTCGGCGCTGTTACGACGCAGTATAAGCCCGGCAGCAACTGCCTGGATACGCTCTATGCGCTCCAGAGCCATGCATGACTCTAAGGCATTCGGAGAAGCAAAGCTGTCGTCGAGCGAGGAGCCCTGGGGAAGCCCCAATATTAACGACAGAGCGCGATCTGAGAGGACGATACGGAACCACATATAATCAGGATCAATCCGGTCTCGGCTTTTTTGCTCTAGTGTGATGTTTACCGGCCCGCCTGTTCCCGTGTGTAGCCCTAGCAATTGAGCCGTGAGCATAGCTCTGCGATTCGTCATCCATGCGCGTCGGAGGTTCCCAGAATTATTGAGGTACATAGACTCGGTCATGATGCATTCTATGCCCTCGAGTGAGTTGGTAAGTTCATCATTGCTAGTCACTAGCTTAGAGACGACATCGACGAGGCAACACATGATGGCACGATAGTCTGAGCTCAAACCATCAAGTTTGCTGGCTGAAGAGGGCGGAACGCCTTGAAGGTATGTTGCCAGTAGCAAGAGTCTTCTAGCTATGAGCACAGGATGAGCCCTGGCACCCTGCGGAGGCAATTGAAGCATCTCTTTTGGAGATTCCATGTGTTTGGAATAGAATGTAGAGTACGGCTTGTATATAACTCCGTGGAATAAGGTCGAAATATCGACTGGAATGCTCAATATCAAGTCGAGATCATGCTGGTCAGGCCATTTCCCCAAGAGGATGCCGGATATCTCGTCAAGTCTGTTTGTTAACTGTGCTTCTGGTCCAATATTCGAAATAGCGGCATTAACGGATAAGTGTGCCTTTGAGTTGGACTTCGAAGTGTGATCATCTCTCTCCGGAAATTTCTTTCACTCGCCATTAGCAAAGTAAAATGGCAATCAAGGCATTTAAGGAACGTACCGCTGACAAAGTAATCTTCCCCTGATCGGGTTGATACTGGAGTGATGCATTTGATCCAGTATTGTCGCCGTGCCTGGTCAACTGTACTGTCGGAGATTCCTCATGATCGACTCTGTCGTCCGCCTCGTCGCGAAACTCTTGGCTGATGCACTTTGTCCGTCGGCTCCTACATCCATCACATTTCTTGTTTGACGGCGCTGCATAGGAGCACCTTGTTTTACGGCGCTTGCACTCCCAGCAGCTTAATGTGCCCTTGCGGATCTTGCGCCTTTTGGGCGGATGTTGTTTGTCTTCCGCCGCGGAGGATGGCCAGCGTTGGCTCTGCTGTTCCGACATTTCCCGTCGATAACGACTCCAGCCACGAAGGTCACAAGAATCCCCTTCCTTGCGAATTGGATAGAACGACGTTGATAATGCCTTGCATATAGTTTTCCTAGAAGTCAATTTCTTTTTTTGAACTCGGTTTGAGAAAGACGTTAAAGTCTCCGCCGCGGTGGTGTAAGATTCGGAAGTATGGTCCTCCGTACATCAATATTATCCATACTTCAATGATTTTACGTAATCACGCCATTGCACCGAGCTGACATAGAAAATCATGCAAGATTCAGTTAGAATCGAGGATTAATTATGTGGAAATTAGGGGAGCGTGGATAAACAGTGCCTCATTTTACCGTCAGACAGAGTATTCAGATAAAATTTATGTACAATAATCTACAAATTGCAGCGCAATATGTTCTCCGTAATAGTACTGGCGTTTTTCCGCAGCAGGTTCTCATCATAGACAAAGGATCGATCAAGCTAGGGTAGGATTCATTTACCGCATGCACCGCGGTCCAACACCAGTCAACATGCAGATCTATACTAGTTATTCAACTAAAGACTCCGAAACCCCCGTTGGGTACAAAGGCCGGCAGGGTACTCCTCCGCGGTCAAAAGTTACTAGTAACCTCAATTCAAATACATATATATTCCACGAGGTAGGCTCGCCACGACATAACTTCTTTTTTCCATGTTGCTCAACTTTTACATCGCTTTTTCTTATCTCTACCCTTTCGCTATATTAGCGAAACAAATTTCTTCGCTTTTGCATAACGCAGAGTTCAAAATGGTCAAAGTCGCCATTGCTGGTGGTTCCGGGCGTAAGTAAAAAATCATCTTGGCTTGACGCAGCGGTATACAACTGCTAATCATCATGTTGTTATGATGCAGAGGTCGCTCGAGAAGTCATCGATGCTCTACTTGAATCCAAAAACCATGATATTACCATATTGAGCAGAAGTGTATGAGACATTGTTTACGTGCCTCAAATAAAAGAAAGTAGCGGAAGCTGATGTCCATGTACAGGCTGTGCCACCTAAGACTTTCACATCGACCCTCGAGTGGCAGATTGTCGACTACAATGATGTGAAAAGCCTCACCAGAGCGCTTAACGGTGTTCACACTCTCTTATCGTTCATCCAGACGCTGGGAGATTTCGAGCAAAAAGTGCAGAAGAACCTCATCGATGCAGCCATTGAAGCTGGTGTCAACCGGTTTTCGCCAAGCGAGTATGGAAGGTAAATAGTCATTGAGTAACACCATGGCCATTGCGGTTTCCTTTGACCGGCTAATGACCAAATCAACAGCAAAGATACGGTGGATATGTCCTGGTCAGGGCAAAAAGAAGTAATCCGGGAATATTTGAGGGAAAGAAACAAGTCGGAGATCGTAAGTTACCTTTCTGCAAGTACAATAGCTGGAAATTGTGAGTTTGGTGAGCGAGGTACACATCCATATTGCTAACCCACTTTCGCGTGACTCACAGGTTCTTGAGTATTCCTTATTCCAGCCTGGTCTGTTTTTGGACTACCTAGCCTATCCCTACAAAACCAGCAAGTACGTTGACCCACTGCAAACCATCTTTGACTTCCAGAACAAGCGTGGTATCGTTGTTGAAGGCCATGAGGACGCCATTATAAACTTTACTTCAGTCAAGGATTTTGCAGCTATTGTTGCCCGTGCAGTTGACTACGAAGGAGGCAGATGGCCGATTATTGGAGGGATCAGAGGCAACAGGTTGACGTTCGCACAAGTTTTGGCCATCGGAGAGTCTGTGAGAGGTAAGAACAATAGAAGCATAATTGTTGCCAAAAAATAAGGGATTCTAAGTCTGAAGCATTGCTGACTGAACTTTTCAAATTTATCTATTACAGGACACCCTTTCGCGATCGAAAAAGCAAAGATTGAAGATCTAGAGGCTGGTGAGCTGAAAACTGTTTGGAATATTGAAGCCACTCATCATGCCGCCTTCAAGGCCGATTCGATAGATATGCACAAAGCTGTATCTGTTGGTATCCTCCTGAGTAGTACCAAAGGGGCATGGGATTCGTCAGACGAGATAAATCGGCTCTTTCCTGATTTTCAGTTCACTAAAGCTACAGAGTTTCTAGCAGAGGTGTGGGAAGGACAACAATAATATTCGCCAGATAATCCGATCTATCCGCCAATATAAACTTAGCACATAGTTTCTCCCTTGGGGAATTCTTCCCAGTATTAACATGTCGGAGACCGGCTTGTCACAGATATTTGAAACTAGAGTTCCTTGGATATATTCCACTTTAAACCCTGCAAATATGTTAGCCATTGTGAAGGGGTTAGATTGCTTGAAACCGAGGGTAACTTTGCATCATACCGTGGCTAGATAAGCTTGTCCTTTTATTAGATTTTGGATAGCTGATTCACCGAGCCATTGAGGCTGAAGGCGCCGGAGATTCTCCTCAAAGAGCCATGAGTTTCCACCTTCCACATAAACACTCTCTCCATTTAAATCTTCTTCCAGCGCAATAGCCGCGACAACTTCGGCCACGTCAATGCAGGTGTTTAGTGGGAGGCCTTCCTTTTCCCACGCATCCTGGAATTCTTGGATCATGGCTGTCTTCGTTGCCCACGGACAAACGCAATTTACTCGAATGCTTGCCTCGTCATAGGCAGTAGAGGAGTATTTCCTCAAACTTCGCATTAGACCTATAATACCATGCTTGGCCGCCTGGTACACAAAGATACCTGGACTCTCTTCAAATCCGGCTACTGACGAAAGAAGTATCAACGACTTATTGTCTTCTCTTTTGGCGTTTTGGCGTAAATATACAGATGCCACTCGAGCCACAAATAAGGAGCCTCTCAAGTTAACATCAAGGGTTATTGTATTTGGCTCCTTCTGCACGCTGACGAGGTTCATGGACGGCTCGAACCACTCCGGTCTTTCCCCAAGCCCAGCATTTGACACGGCGATGTCAATACGTTGATAAAGCTCAAAAGCTTTTTGAAACAACTGCAGAACTGATGAATATGACGTTACATCGGTCTGAACAAAGCAGACATTCGGAGATAGAGAGTTTGCGAGGACCATCCCTTGTTCTGTGTCAACATCGCCGAAGACCACTTTTGCTCCATGGGAGCTAAGCAGCTTCACTGTTTCCGCACCTATACCGTTGGCGCCACCAGTAGGGATGTTAGTAAGAAAGTCTTGATCTTTTCCCTTCTCTTTTCGCAGCAGTTGGTATATGGATCTACCTGTAAGTACAACGACTTTGTCTTTGAGCTGTGGGAGCTTCTGACGGTCGAGCGAGAAAGCTGACATTGCTTCAAGAACTACAGAATTTGATCACTGAATGTCGAATTCACATAGTAAGAGTGGATGAGCAATCAAAAATAGTATATCTTCCAAGTCACAAGCTATTTGAGCCGTCTATATATGTGCGACTACAGGCTTAAGCGGAAAGCAAATCTTCTCTCACAATTTCCCGCTTCCGTTAGCAGAGGTGGGCCGGAAGATGCACTTTATGCGTTTTAGTTTCCAGCTTCCGACAGGACCGAAACTCCCAATAGAAAAGCAAATCCCCAGACTCACTGAAGGTCTGGTTCCGTCGCACTAGACGCCTTCCGGATGTAACCCTTCCCCGCTGTTGGATTTCTGCCGCCCAATGCACCAAATTCGTCGCGTATCTGGCAAAATAAGACCTCGCTATTGGGTATATAGCTTACTCGGACTGACATTGTTGTCCAAATTGTAGTGCATACTTCTTGAACAATTGGTAACTAGCATCTGGCCGAACACATAGAAACAGCTACAACCTCCTATTCTGTAACTTCAATCACCATGCCACTTCAAACGTATCATATATCCTCATCTGAAAAGGGCCTATCAAGTGTTACGACACTCATTGTTGGGACCAAATCTGCTATGCTGATTGACCCGCCATTCCTGGTCTCGGATGCCATTCGCGTTGTTCAATTCATCAAGGACAAAACCCCGAATGCTTTACAGGCCGTCTTTGTTACGCACCACCACCCGGACCATTACTTCAGTGCCAATCCTATCCTAGAGGCATTCCCATCTGCGAAATTTTATGCCGCACCTTATGTTAGAGCCGGAATTGACAGGGAATACAATGAGAAGGTTAAATATTGGCCGACCATCTTTGGCAGAGACGAGATTCCAGAGGTGCCAAGGAAACCTGATCCCTACCCGTACAGCTTTATCATCCTTGACAAAGATCCAGAAAGCCCAATTATGCTTCTGGGGCCAGTACAAGGTGACGCAGTGGACCACACGCTTTTCTGGCTGCCAACGGAGAGGACCGTTATCACCGGTGACGCGTTGTATGGGAGAAGCACACATCTCTGGTAAGAGTGCCTAATTGAACACTCGCCATACAATGTACTTATAGATACTGGGCAGGGCAGAAGAAATTGAGACACCAGAAATTCTCCATGCGTGGCAATCGGTAAGAACTCCATGTATTAAGACTTTCTAAGGAGGTTACTTACAATGTGAGTTCCGCAGGTCATTGAATTGATTGAGTCGCTTAAGCCTACCAAGATCATTGTTGGTCATCTCCAAGATGGATGGTCACTTGATACTGCCGCCGACCTGGAGCACAATCGTAAGTACCTGGCGCTTTTCGATGACGAGATTTCTCAGGCTGTTACGAAGCCGACCGTGGAGCAGATCTATAGTACGTTCGCAAATGCCTTCCCACAGGCTGTGAAAAATTTGGACTTCTTTTTGGGTCATTTGAGCAATCAGTTTGGCGAAGGAGGGGAGATATGGGAAGAGAATCGCCATCATGCGGTTGAGAAAAGGACGAAAAAGACTTTAGAAGGCTACGTTTTGTAGTCCAAAGCTCATTGAGACTTAGCGGTTATTTAGTTGCAATTGCACTGGCAATGCGCTTTGTTCATAAATTTCCTATTATCTTCTGGGTACAAGCTTCTCCGTGATTATGGATTCGCTCGCAATTGGCGTCGTTTCCCTTTCAAAGATATGGTAGGACACATTATTCCAGGATAAAGATAGAGTTGTAACTGTAAAGACTTACCATTAATATCATATCCACTAACTAAGCAGAGTTTGCATTGCGGTATTAACTGAATGCTTGCCTTAACTGCAACCATGTCTTGGCCTCTCTAGAAAAGCATGGGACGGTACATACGCTACATTATATTGGAGCTGAATCGCCGAAACACACTCAGTGTTGAAGAACCAATCAATTAGAAGTCTGCTAAGCTCACCTCCTAGCTAACCCATAGCTAACATTCAATGTTGTTATGTCCAAACCTTCAAGGTATTTTCCTTTTTTCAGCTTCCTTTTAATTCTATCTCACAATAATCGCAGAACACTTGAGGAGGTAGTAGCTACATCCCAATAACCCATTGCATTCCATTAATAGCCTTTTTATAAAATGTCTCAGTCTCGGGTAAAGAAGGAACTATCCAGAAGCAATGTGGAAGGCCAAGATAATGGTCAGACTTGACGGGAACCCTTGCATCCTTCAAGGTTGCCACCAACACCTTTCCATCATCTCTCACTGGATCCAATTCGCTGGTACATACATACACGGCTGGTAATCGCCCCAAGATGTTCGAATCTCTAATTGGAAAGTAGTCCTCATTTTCAGCATCATTTCCTGCAAGGTCGAAGAATAGACGCATCGTTGATGCGCTCAAAAGTGGCACATTCTCCTCCATCTCGGCGTAAGATGTATGAGTTGACTCGTAATATTTCGGGATGTGGTCGGGGTGCAGCGCAACGGGACAGAAGACAGCAATGCCTTTGACCGTATCAGGTCGCAGTGAAGATTGACTCAAAAGGACCTTGCGAGTGACGGAAAAAGCAAGTCCAGCCCCGGCCGAGACGCCTATGGCGTATATTCTCGTTGAATCGCCTCCGAATCTAGAAGCGTTGTTATACGCCTGCGTAGGTATTAGCTATATGAGTCTCAGCTCTGCTTATTCGTGACATAAGACATACCCATTCAAACCCATTGAGCGCGTCTTCAAGGTGTGCTGGTGCCTTATGCTCTGGTGATAATCTATACATTATGGAAATGACGACGATTTTGCTGCTTGCAATAGTGGCGCAAAAATAGTCGTCCGCAATGGACGGTCCAATGACAAGACCTCCGGGGTGATAGTATACTCCAACAGGGAGTTTGTCGCTTGTGTCGGCAGCAGGGCAAAAAATACGATAGTTGAAAGAATCATGCACACCCTCATGGATCCTGATAGAATTAGGGATTGGGGGGTATTGTGCTGCAAGTGCCGTCATCATGTCCTCTTGCATGGAGCGCATTTCATCAGCATTTCCGTTGAGAACCGGTCGGACGCCTAGATATTCCTCGAACTGGATTTGTTAGGCGCCTCTTTTTATTGGTAAGTATACGTATTCAATTTTACGTGCCTTGAGCCATGACTCTGAGTAGTCGCCCATTCTGAACGGCTTCGGGAGCCGTAATACGTCTAGACGTAATGCAGCTTGTCTGTAGCTTGTACTCAAGAACAAAAAGGCACAAACAAGAAAAGAGGAATAAATAAAATAGATTCTAAACCCAACTGATGAGGGTCTTAAGCTCAATGGACTGACTCACAACGCCAATGAAAGCCGTACTATAGAATACTCAACTAAGAAAGATATTATCGGGAATTCCAGGCGCCTTTGTATATAGCCCTGCGCATATAAATGAGCCATAACCCCGGAACCCGAAGTTCAGTATGTATAGTATCGCGTGCTCACTGAACAAGTCCGTATCCGAACAGAGCCGATTAGACATCTCACCTGTGGAAGTGGAGTAGTGTCATATCCATGTAAAAGCCCCCGGATGGAGACGGGAAACCACGCGACAGGTCTCCGATCCGAGGTTCTGAAGCAGCTGTAGACAGGGCTGGTGACTAGCATGCTACAATCGTCATCATTTCAGAAGGTTTTGCATACCACATGATTGTACACAAGATAATTCAAAGCCTTTGTAGGTGGCCCGTAAAGCAGCTTTTCGTACTGTTGAGTGTCATTTGAGCCGTACCACTACTGGAACTTGTGCCAATATATGCTTTAATGTGCATTAACGTAAAGGTTTCCTAGTATTGAAAGAGCCCGCTTTATACTTCGTAGAGTGGACGAAGATCGATATATGTATTATAGCCAACGTATTAATTGTTTTATTCATACACGAGGAGACAGTTGATCACGTTCAACTTTAACTAAGCAACGAATCAAGTATTCTTCCATCTGAGAAATCCCTTGAAGAGATGTGACTATGCCAACATAGCCGTCTGGCCGAATGACAGCAGCGGCACCCACACGATCATTAACTCCGTACGTTGCGTATAGCCCTTCATCCGCTGGACCGTGGAATTTCATTTCCGCATACTTCTTGATCGATGGCTGGATATCCCCCCATTCAAACTTCCTTTCTGAGAAAGGATGGAGCACGACTAGTTCGATAGTGGAGGATGGGAACACGGGCATTAAATCTTGACAAATCCAATTTACAGCCTGAGATGAACTGCCGTCTTTCTCACAAAGATCGAATGTTGTGAATAAAAGAATTCTAAATCGCCCATTGGAAGGAAAATCTACAACTGTTAGCAATGACATCTCTATGCATGGGTTATGCAGTTTCGCACCATCTTGCAAGTGTCGCCTGTTAGCGTCTGCATATCGCAATACCACTGAATCTAGTAACCGTCGGCCGGGTCTCAAGACCCCATTGAGATAGTTGTCCCCATGGATTGGGCAATCTTCAGGAGCAGGGTGCTGAACAAGAATTCCCGGCGAGTACTCAATGCCACACCCACTGGTAAAGCCATTACCGTCTCTGAAGACCTTTAGAAATTGATCATGCGTCAGTCCCTCGACGTTTTTATCCGAGTTAACTTTTCCTGAAAACATGGATGAGAACTTGGTGTCAAACTCTATAAGCATTTTTGCAATCTCGAATCGCTCGTCCTCATATGTGGAGAGGATGGTTGGGCCAGCTGTTTTGGGACTTAGCCCATGAATTTCATGGGCCAACTTCCAGGAAAGGTTGTACGAATCCATCATGGAAACGTTCATACCTTGGCCAGCCTTTGGGCTATGCGTATGGCAAGCTTCTCAATATCAGCTACTGAAACACCCGAGTCAAAATGCAGCTCTACTTACCGTCTCCGACGATAAATATTCTTGGTTGACCGTTGCTATCCTTGAGAGAGAACTTGGATGTCATGCGCTGTCCAATCTGATATGCAGCCCACCAATCAACCTGAGTTCCATCCTTGACACCTATTTCATAGGGCTCAAAGACACGCTGAGCTTGTCTCAGAATAGAATCAAGAGTGATCCTGCCTCTCCGCATTTTTGACATTTGCTTTTCTCCCTCGACATTTTGGTCTAAGGATTCAACAGAGACTTCTTCTGTTGTCTGTACATAGAGACGTGTCAAATATTCCCCACCTTGAATACGCTCACGAGGTATGATCATGACAGAACCAGCATCGGAGTGAATAGCGCAGCGCTTCCGTATATCTGGGAAATCTGTCTCCACCACGAAGTCAACAACACCCCAGATGTGGTCCGTTGTTTCACCAACAAGATCTAGCCCCATCCGCCGTCGAACTACGGAATGTGCACCGTCAGCACCAACGAGATATTTGGCGCGTGCAGTCTTGCGTGTCTTGGCACCAACAACATCTTCAAGCTCGATCTCCACCTTGACAGGAAACTCAGTATCGCCTACTTCGTCCATCTGAAAATCTATGAATCGGGCGTTTCTATGAATGCAGTCCGGTGCATAGTGGTTGAGATTGCTTTCGAGGATTCGTTCGATCCGGCCCTGGTGTATGGTAACCTCATGCTTATATCTCGCTGCCACCGCCACGTCGGGTGCAAAAGATGTACGCTCAATTCCGGGAGCATCATGAGGCGATGTGTTTCTTTTGGGGTTCCAAAAAGCGACCTCAGACATATGGCATCCATGGTTGAGGATCTCATCAACAACGTCCAGGCTTTTCAGTACTTCCAACGTGCGAGGCTGAAGACCATCAGCCTGGCCAGCTTTCAGCGTTTCAGGTTTGGCATCAAAGCATACAATGGTATCTCCAAGCCCGTAACGAGCGAGCATCAATGTGCACATCATTCCCGCAGGACCGGCCTTGAGATTATCTTATCAATTGATCTGCACAAAATCTGGATGAACCCTGACCTACACCAATTATGATAACTTCATACTTTTCATCTTCACCACCGGTGGCTAATGGTGGTCGTGAAGTCAACCTTGGCAAAGGCGGTTCCTTTGTTGGATTTACTCGAAGGTCGCGATCATTGTAGGAGGTTTCTTGAAAGACGGGCATTTTTGCGGACGTTTGAGTGATTAGGGTATTAAAATCGACGAATACTTCGCTTTGCCTTTTGTAGGATGTTTCAAGGCTGGCAGGGCGTCTTGTATAATACCGAAGGGATAAATGTGTGTTCCTTGAGTATGTTGACGGCCGTGGAAGTATCCTTTGGCGGCCATTGGCATTGTCTGGCTTTAGCGTTCTCACGGCTATTAGACGGACATCCCTCAGTGACGAACTTGGCTTTCTCAGACTAATCGGATGGGACTGCATGACAGCAATGGCTCGGACACGGGTCGGAAAGACACCAGAACCATCCGGGAACGCATCCGCCCCACACCTCATCGGTCCGCTGAACTCCCAGATCCGTTTTCTGTACTCCGTGCCGCTAAGCGAAAAGCTGTCTAGGGTGCAGAGCTGGCGTCTTGAATAAGCGGGCAAGGGGAAAGAAGGCTACCCGGCATAAAGCAGAGTATCAAGTGTTTGTAGTGTTGTACTATGCCTTATAGACGTTTGAAGGAGATCCGCTTCTAAATTCGTTTGGTACGCTTCTTCATTCATTTTTACGCAACCTCAACTAGAGAGGCTATCAAATTAAGTCAAACGACTACTTTCTGCTTTCTATTACCTACCACTATCAACATGTCGACTCACAAAACGCTTAATACAATGGTCGAAATGCTGGACCTCACCACTGAAAACATTACAGAAAATGTTCAAATCGTGAATTCTAGCTGTCCCGAAAGACGTGTTAAGTATCTGTTTGAAAGACTTGTTGTTCATCTCCATGATTTAGTACGGGAAACGAGACTCAGTACGGAAGAGTGGATGGCTGCAATAGAGTTCCTCACTAAAGTTGGTCAAAAATGTACTGATACACGTCAGGTAAGCGTATCACGGATAGGTGCCGATACATTTCGCTCAATCCCATCAATCACGTCTAATACGTGTCTATGCAAGGAATTCATTTTACTTTCGGATGTTCTCGGAGTTTCATTGCTTGTTGATGCGATTGACCACCCCAAGCCAAAAGGCTCGACAGAAGGGACAGTATTAGGACCATTCCACACTCACGAAGCGGAGTATGTTACCAATGGTGCCAACATCTCGACTGATCCTCAGGGAAACCCACTTCTTGTCATCTGCCAAGTTCGCAACTTGGCAGGGCAGCCAATCGAGAATGCCAGAATTGATGTTTGGGAGACAGATTCCAAGGGATTTTATGATGTTCAATACGCAGATCATGACGGTCCTAACGGACGAGCTGTTCTTACGAGCGACAAGGATGGGAATTTCTGGTTCAAAGGCATTGTCCCGGTCCCATATCCAATTCCAAGTGATGGGCCGGTTGGAAAACTTCTTGGAGCCCTCAATCGACATTGTTACCGGCCAAGTCACATGCACTTTATGTTTGACCATCCGACTTATGATCCTCTCGTCACGTATGTTTATGGCGCCGATACATCTGCTCTACGCTGTTGTAAAGTTCCCAATTAACTATTGCATGCAGTGCTTTATACTTAAAAAATGATCCATATGAAACATCAGATGCAGTTTTTGGTGTTAAGAGTACGCTTGTGGTGGAGTTGAAGACAGTACAGGACAAAGAAACGGCTGAACAGTATGGTGTCGATGTTGGGTGTGCATTAATGAAATATGAATTTGTTCTTGTTACAAAGCAGGAGGCAATTGATATGCGATACAGAAACGCAGAGGCAGCGATGAAGGCTCAGGGGAAGCAAATGCAGTACATAAACGGTCTGCCTGTACCGGATATAGATTAAGAGAGGATAAATTGCAGCTGAAAGGCCAACAGCATCGATCAGAGCCCTTCAATCTTCAATTGGCTGCATTTATAAGATGTACTTTGACAATGATGCTTATAGTAGAGGAAAGCAGTAGTATAATCAAAGACATATCTCAATTTGGTTCTCAGAATGAAGTTACATGTAGTCAGGCTTCATTTCAGCTCTTCTGTAACAGCCGTTCATGTCTCCCTGGAAACGCCCCGATGCTGCCAGACAATAGGAGGAAATTAGATAACTTGAGCTTTGGGAACCCCTCTTCCACCTCAGCCCTCACGGTGTCCAGTATTACGGATCCTGCTTCCGTGGGTAGGCGATGACCCGCGGCGAATGAAGTGTTCTCGGCCCGGTTCTCATTATTGATCGATTCATGCGCATGAGGAATCTGGCCGTATGATGTCATCCAGCAACCCTGAGCATGTAAAGAGGCCCAGTGAAAGTTTTAAATTGCTTTAATTTCTCTGGATTCATTCTCTCCTGGCTTCGTAAAAAAAGGAGTCATTCAGTCGCTTAGATTTCGCAGAATTGCTAGTGGTTTCTTGGAAGCAACTTCAGAGCCTTGATAACCATGGTTCCTCCATCAACGACAAAGTTAGACCTTGATCTTACTCATGAGAAGACCAACGGTTCCAGAATTGACACGACGCAACCCAAGTCTCAGGTGTTTACAGCTTACCCTCGGGTCGTGGAGAATTTTCGACCAATGAGTGTGATCATCATCGGCGCCGGTTTCTCGGGAATCTATTGCGGCGTTCGGATACCAGAGCGACTACGCAACGTGAAACTAACCATATATGAGAAGAACTCCGGGATTGGTGGCACTTGGCATGAGAACCGCTACCCGGGTTGTGCTTGCGACATTCCTGGTATGTTTTATGTCGACTATTGAAGAGATATCATTAGTGTATAACACCCTCCGACAGCACATTCATATCAGTACACATTTGCACCCAACCCGAATTGGAGCCGGTTTTACGCCCCCGCGGCAGAGATATGTAAATATCTGGAGTCGGTTGCGGAACGATATTCTGTGAACCGATTCATCAAGACTCTACATAAAGTAACCAACGCAAAGTGGAAGGAGGATATCTCAAAGTGGTTCGAGATATCTATATACCTATCTTCTTATGTCTCAAACTAACAATTCATTAGGGAGGTTACGATTAAGAATTTGAAAACTGGAGAGACTATAGTTGATATAGTCGATGTTGTCATCAGTGCGCGGGGAATGCTAAACGAACCCTCTTGGCCAGATATTCCAGGAATCCGTGAAATGAAAATCCCCGTACTTCACTCAGCTGTATGGAATGATAGGTATATACAATTCTTTATTTTTATTTTTATTTTTTTGGAAAAAAGAAAACGTTAATTCTGTCCTTAGTATTACTTTTGAAGGGAAAAGAATTGGCATTATTGGTGGCGGAAGTAGCGCCATCCAGATTATTCCTGCTTTGCAGCGAGTATGTGGCACGCATTTAAGCTGCTTTATCCGGAGCACGACATGGATCTCCAGACCCTTTGGAGATTCCGCATTGAAGACTCTTGGATTAGGAAGCACCGATTGTAAGTTTTACTCAGTTTAATTGCTTACGAGTCGCGATGCTACGAAAAGGAGACCGGGAAGATTAACCTCTTGTAGTTTCTCCGGAGCACAAGGCAAAATTCACCAATGACCCTCAATACTACCTGAATTTTCGAACCATTATCGAGAGAGACGGCAACTCTGCTCATTCTCTTACCTTCAAGGACTCAGAAACGCAGAAGCTCGCTCGTGAGGATTTTACAGCGCTTATGAAAGAAAAGTTGGCAAAGAAACCACACATCCTTAAAGCTTTAATGCCAAACTTTAGTGTGGGCTGCCGAAGGCTGACACCTGGGCCTGGTTATCTTGAAGCACTTGGTGAAGATAATGTCGATTTCATCAATACACCCATTTCCGAAGCTACAGACACTGGTCTTGTGCTACAAAATGGAGAAATCAAGGAGCTGGACGTTTTGGTTTGCGCAACTGGTTTTCAGACTTCGGCGCCGCCACCTTTCTCGGTGGTTGGAAAACATGGTCAAACCATGATGAAGAAGTTTGACCCGTACCCTGAGACGTATCTATCTCTGGCTACCGACGGCTTTCCTAATTATTTCATGATGCTAGGTCCTAATGCAGCCATTGGCACGGGACCACTTACGACCATGATCGAAAAGACGGGGGATTACATTATCAAATGTATACGGAAACTCCAAAAGGAGAATATCTCGAGCATGGAACCAAAGTCCGCCCGTGTGAAAGACTTCTCAGAAGTCATTGATAGGTACTTCAAAGATACCGTGTATATCGACAAATGCAGCAGTTGGTATAAGAGCGAGGGTGGCAAGGGAGACCGAATTGTGGGAATCTGGCCGGGTAGTGCTTTGCATGCACTGGAGACTCTGCGGTCACCACGCTGGGAAGATTTCAATTATGCATACAATGAAGAGACCCAGGCTAACCGGCTATCATGGCTTGGAGACGGTTGGTCTGCTCCTCAGGTCAACCCCGAAGATGGCGAGCTGGCACATTTCTTACAGCCGGCATTTGTAGATTTACCAGCGTCGCCATACCCGGAAGAGACTGTTGAGTATAGACAGCTCCCGTTCTCACATTAAGCTGTGTAGGTGGTAGAATCTGGAATAGCTGTTGAATGAGTATTCACTGAGGCTATGCTGCTGTGACGAATGGTCAGAGATCCGCGAGCTGGGTAGCTGAAAGGAGGTATGCATGTTCAAACTGGACTTTGTGGCTTGAATCATACTATAGCACGAAGAGGCTTCCTCTGTATTGGACGAATTTAGAGTTCATTACCGTCATTATTGTATTTCACATTCTTTGACTTCGTTACTTCGCCTTTTTTGTGCTACGGTTTCTGATACAACTCAATCCAGCCGGCCATTTAATAGATGACTGGCCCCGATTACCAGGGCAATAGTCTTCAACAGCCAAAAACCGCCACACATAAAAGGAGGCCGAAAACAACCCATCAGCGAAGGTCCAATGGAATTCGTCTTTCGATGCCTAAAAGCGTATCCTTCTATACTTTGTTTCACCGTTATATGCCTCGGACAGCCGTTGAGATGACTCTTTTATTAGAGACTAACTTTTACTAAATGATTCACAACCCCAATTGCCCCAATTCACCGTAACTCGCTACTTACATAAGTCCAATGACCATTTTACACATGGAAATAGACCCAGTCATCACAGTTGTAACACTTATAAAACTTGCTTCGCCAAGTCGATTATATTGATGTTCTTTAGCCGATTCCTTTCCCTCTCAACGTTTCCACTGTTGCCTTGTTTCAGTCGTGTGGCGAAGATTAAGCTTGTTTCACATATCTACTCTTGCATCCTCACCGGCGTATGCTCTTCTAATTAACTCTCTAATCAGAGGCCTTTCGACTGGACGTGGGTTAGAATAAGGATTACTAGTTGCAATATCAGCCGCCTTATCGATGTCTTCGTCTTTGAATCCGAAACTTTGCAATCCACGTTGCAATTTAAGGCGCTTTAAAAGAAAGCTGAGTCCCTGAACAGCATCGCCATTACTACCTGGGAGCACATCCGCCAGCTTCTTCATAACCTCCGGAATATTTGGAGCATTGTATGCCAAAGAATGGGGTAGTATAACAGCGTGTGTCTCAGCGTGAGGCAGGTTGAAACTCCCGCCCAAGACGTGACAGAGTTTGTGGTGGAGAGCCATGCCAACGGAGCCAAGACAGAGTCCGCAAAGCCAGGCGCCGTACTGGGCCATAGATCGGGCATTCAGATCTGTTGGCGAGTCCATGATGGCAGGGAGAGATTCTGCAAGGGACTTGACACCTTCAATGGCGAGCAGGGAGATGATTGGGTTCGAGTCGTGAGCATACAACGCCTCCACTGCAGACTTGGTTAATATTTCTCAAGACCGCAATGTGTTAGTAGAAGGGATAAAAAAAAAGAAGGCTATAATACCTGCGTGAGCGATTGCGTTCATGCCGCTGGCAGCACTCAGGCCGACCGGAAGAGTCATAGTCAGATCCACATCGTAAATGACTGTCCCGGGAAGAATCTTGGGGTCACTCCTCGTCTTCTTGAGTCCGTCCGCTGACTCGCCAAGAATGGGCGTCATCTCTGAGCCAGAATATGTTGTCGGGATGCAAATATGGGGCAGCCCGGTGCGAATGCTTATAGCCTTGCCGAGTCCAATAGTGCTCCCTCCGCCAATAGAAACAATCGAGTCGGCGAGGACGGACTTCGCATACGCCAGGGCCCTCTCAGTGACGCTTGTTGGCGTGTGCATAGTCGCCTCGGCAAACGTGTGTCCAGTGCCTAAAGTAGCCTTGACCATCTCGCCTTGGTGGATCTGTTCGGAAGTAGTCAGGATCAATGGGGAGCGCAACTCACGCCTTGCCATCTCCACGGGCAGTGCTCGGAGCTTTCCACTCCCAAAGACAACCCGGCTGGGGGCAATATTGTAAGAAAAACTCTGCGGTGCAAACATGGTTGCGTTCAATAGCTGGCGGCCTCGAGACTTACACAGAAACCAACCAAGCGCACGAAACAACAGCAAGTTATAATCGGCACCTAGTAGTAAGGTCGCCATTGTCCGGATGGCGCACCGGATAGTGTATGGGTCGGCCGGATGCTCGATAGCGCCGGATGCTACCCCTTGCTAGCCAAAGCTAGCATGGAACGCAACAATTACAGTGCCCGTAGCCATTTGGGGCTTCGTGGATTAGGCGCGCGGCAGGCCACAACCCTCCCGGTGGGCTAACTACCTCGTAATCGGGGGCAGAGTCGTCCCCCGCCTCTCTCTGCTTCAGTCTTGAGATCATCTTTCATGTGCTATGGGACGGAAGAAATGTGTCCCTATATTCCGAATGTTACAGTGGAATTCAACATCCAACAGCATACAACATACAACAACAAAGAGCTTTTCTTGCAATGAATTGATGAGGAGCTGTTGCCTTTAGTATTAGAAGATAGCCGCTATCTTCTGCCAAGTAATGCAGCCACATTCTGCAAGACCGAGGAAATCAAGCTATAGTTCCAGGCGAATAACCTTCATATATCGTGACGCGAAATGACACCTAAGAACTACCGAACAAGAACAATGAACAAGCCATATTACCACCCTCTCGGCGGCGAATCGCAACAATGGATCTCACAGCACTGCCTTGCAGTATGTCAGTGGAGAGAGATAGAGAAATTGATCTTGCTTCTTTATGTTTTGTTCCAGTTCACTTCGTGATATATTAGGAAGACGCAGAACTTCACTTCGTAATGCTTCTGAATTCTGTGACTGCTTACGGCTGGTTGTCTCACCTTTCCGTGGAATTAACTCTTGACTTCGACTTGAAAACCACCATTCCACCTGGCCCCGCCCCCGCAGTGCCCTGTACTCTATGCAGTTAGCTGCTATACAAGTAGTGGTTCTAGCTAAAGACTAGCTAAGGACTGTGTGTGAGATAGAAACTATGACTGACAGATGCCTACAGTCTCTGTACAAGAACTTGTATTTAGTTACTTAAGTTGAGGTTTGTAAAGAGATGTCACGCTTAATTCTTTTTTTTCCGTTCGTTATTCCTTTATCATTGCCACTAGAGGGAGTCTACGGAACTAGGGTAGTGAATATTGAGTGTCAGTGCCCGCTACTCCTGCCGATATAACCTCCTTAATTGTCCTTTAAGGATTGGAAAGTCGGGACTAAAAGAAATGCACAAAGCTCGGCAACCCCGGAGATTAAAGTGCTAAACCTTGTAGATTACTACGTACATAGATGACAGTATGCCAGTTTGCCAGAGCGCTTTATTGTTTTAAACCGATCACATGGCCTTGATCTACCAAGATTGTTCCCCGCATTCATGATTTACCAACCCTAGACTTAGTCAGATTAGACCAAGGTGCCCTAAATGTATTTTGGTCTTACCTCCTCAACGGCTCGCCTTACAAACAAAGAAGTTTAACTCTGAGGAACATTTCTTCTTGTGGCTGCGCTCCACATCTGTAATGTTAGCATACTGGTTTGAGGCATTTTTTCTTATTCATTTACCTGTCCTCCAAGTCGCAGTGTCCCTCTCAATGCCTCGACCGAAGGTTGACCCTCGCTTCCGGAGACGGGTTGCGCAAGCGTGCGAGAATTGCAAGAAACGCAAGTCGAAGTGTAATGGCATATTGCCTTGTGATCACTGCAGGGCTCGTGGAGTCGAAGATGCTTGTCGTTATTCAAGATACCCTCGACCAGCCTCACAAGAAAGCCAACTGTCAAGGGGACTTCCTAACAGAGAATTTCGACGCGAGCCGGGCCCTCTTGATCCCGCATCACCGGCATCATCATCATCAAAGCAAATCGATATCCCAGTTTCAAATCTGTACTCTGTATCCAAAGATTCGCAAATGCTCAAGGATAGTAGAGGTAAATTCAGTATGTTCTCGGAACCGAACGCAAGCGAAAACAAGTGATTTATTGTTGCTGACGTAGATTGCAGTCTACGTAGGGGATTCAGCATCTCTATCTTTTCTGGGGTCGGTCAGATGCACGTTACGGGCTGCTGTAGGGCTATGCCCCTTTACCAATGAACCCGCTCGGAATCCTATGTTAGAGGCCACTTCGAAAATACGCTTTGAGACGGTCCGAGAGCCATCAATAGATCTGGCTACCGCCCAGAGTATTGCAAAGGAGTTTTTCCTTGCGGTAAGCGGAATATTGGACTTCTTCGACCCACCTTGGCTGCTAGCCCAGTTGCAGGACTGGGTTGAACAACCTTCACAAAGAACAAAGGCCAAGTCTGCTATCATCCACCTGGCCCTCGCCATAGGGTTCCAAGCTAGAGCTCAAGGCGACGTAGACGAGCTACTTTCTGAGCAATGCTTTGCGTTCGGGCGTCAACTTACCATGTTCAATCTCATAGACGATCCCAGCCTGGCGACCGTCCAGGCAGTCATATTAATCACTTATCACATGATGGCAGCATGCCAGTACAACGCCGCCTTTATAAATCTCGGCACTGCTGCCAGGGCTGCCTATACACTTGGAATTCATCTCCATGAGACAAATAAGGCCTTCGGCGGCGAGGAAGGCCTAGCTAGAGAGCGTGCTTGGAAGTCATTGAGAGTATGTGATCTATTCCTGGCGGCTTCTCTAGGAAGACCGCCCGCGACGACAGAGGCTGTATCAAACATCGTCTGGTCGCCACTTAAACCCTCGCGTGACTACGAACGCCCCGATGTGGCGGGACAAGTCTTCTCAGCGATGTTTAGGATCTGCAATGTTTTCGAGCGAATACTGGTCGAAGTTTATGCAGAAAAGGCTATAAGCCTTGAGTTGGCTAGAAGTATCTCGCAGCAGCATAGACAATGGACCGAAGAGTTGCCGCGAATGTTGATGGTTGATGGGATTGATGAACCAGACGCGGAGCAGAATCACGATGCATCTCCGGGAGGCTTTTGTCTGTCTCCAAAACAAGGCTCAAGCATCGTCACGATGGCGTATTATTATTCCATTGTTCTGCTTACGAAGCCTTTTCTGACCTTCCGAGTCCACCATGCTTCGGACAAGGAATTCTCAAAAAGCGAAACTTCTTCTATCATGATCAGTCTCGCCACCTACGCTGACGCTTGTGTCAACTCTGCTATAAAAGGCATTGACATCGCTTATGAGTATGTCTTCGAGCTAATCACGCCAAGCCGGCAACCTTTGATTGTCAATAGCGTGTTTATATCGGCATTGTGTCTAGGTCTTGCTTTTCTAGACAAATCTGGACGTTATGCCTGGTCCGTGAATCCGTTGCTAAATCGGGCAATTAAAATACTGGTCCATCTTGGAAAGCTAAATCCACATGCCTCCAGATTTGCTGGGATCTGCGAACAACTAAAAGAAGCCGTGGCTATTTATACAACAAGAAGGGATAATACCTTGCTTTCCGAAAATGACAAATCAGTCCGAAGTATCTTTGGAGATCTTCGGGCGTCATCCAAACCACAGGGCTACAGCGAGAGCTCTGTGGATCACACTGAGAACACACAGCTTAGCTGGAGTGTACCTGCTAACGAAAGTGTGATTAAACCAATCACACCTCGCTCCTTTAATTATAACACTTTCCAAGAAGAGTCCTTACTACCAATATCCGGGCTGTCGCCAACGCAAATCGGAAATCTACCAATGGATTATATACAATCTAATGGTAATTTAGGAGACGTACAATATCCTCATCCTCCTGATAATTCTATCGACGCTTTATCAGAGTACTTCTTGAATCAAAATATACCGCTTTTCCCATTCGCTAGTAGCTTGTCACCTGAGTCGCACTTTGACTTTCAAGGTATGACTTTGGAGCCAGCATAATAATAAGCTAATTTAAGACGGAATTAGGTAGTGGTGTAATAGGCTAGGTCCTATTTGTGTATATAAGTTACCTGTTTCTAAGGCTGTATCTGTTAATGTCGTCCTGAGTAGTACCACAGTGACATGGACTTCGTCGGACAATATGAATCAGCTCTTTCCTTATTTTGAGTTCACCAAAGCAACAGTTTCTAGCAGTGGTGTGGGAAGGAAATTAATACTATGCGCCCTGCGGTGTAGATACAAATATTCTTTATGATAAAACAGCTCTTAAGAAGGTAGGGGGGAGAAACTAATTGCTATCAGTAATAACCCAGCTATTATATCTGAGTCACTAGTTGCTTCATCTCTGAGTCTAGCCTATTACTTGTAAGAGACAAGAAGTACAATAATATGCGCTGCGACTTGTATTAAAAAATGGACTTACCAATGACATGGATTGTGGTATAGAGGCTCGCTCTCCAATATTCCAAAGTTTCTCTGAAATCCAGAGACGTTGCTGCTCATTTATTCCAGGAGCACTTAAAGCGCATTGTAGTGGCCAGACGATACTTAGAGCCGTCAATAACTCCGATTTGGGCGGCGAAGGTGTGCCTGAACCTCCATTGTACCTCGCGACTGATTGGACATTGGAACAGATCTCGTCCACTTCTTGCTGTACAGCTTTCAATAATATCTTAAACTCCTTAGAATCTCGGTATCCGTTACTTGAGTGAATAAGCTCGTTACTCCTTATGAGTACCCGAGCCATGATTATATTAAGCGTTCGGTATTGATTCCAACGAAAGGCTAGAAAGCCTTCAACGTTTTCGTCTTTCGTGCAGTTGCTTAGCATTGGGTGTACAACACGGAGGTCTCTTTGTAAACGCTTAATAGCCAACTGTACTTTCTTCACATCGAGTTGTCGTGGAGCACCTTGGCGGATGAAGAGCAATCGTTCGGCGTCTAAGCATAGATCATAGAGGCGTAGCATGGATATATCCAGCAGCAAACTAATTTTCTCGAAGGGATCATTCAATAGCGCCACAACATCCTGAAAATTGTTGTCTCCTCTGACGTTCTGCACGGCGTTGCAGAAGCAGTACCACCCACTGGTAGGACGAATATGCGCCAGCAGTGACAGCAATCCATTGACATGGGTCTGCCAAGTCCTATCGACCGGACTGTCGTTGGTCACCATCTAGAAATGTAGAATTAGGGAGCAGGCTCTCTATTTGAATATGCTAAAAGAAAAACTCACGTCATTGACTGCCAAAAGAAAGACCGAAGCAACCAGAGCAGGCGATGCTCTACACGATGCTATTGCATCTCTCAATCTTCGTGTTACGCAATAATATTTTGGAGACGCATTACTGAATACGGCTAGAGATGGTGATGGCTGATGCAGAAGCCAGAAATTTGTGCCTGTTAACTCTAGAACTGACAAAAAGAGCCCAGTGGATTCGTTCGAGGTGTGCCGACCGGTAGTAATATTTGACAGGAAGAGTACGTTTCTCGAACTAAGGTTGAGTCTCTCGTCCTCGAGGTTGCCTGCGATCATGTATTCCACCAAGCATATCAAATCAGCCAACTCCCATGATCCCCGATCATCACTTTCAGTTGTCGTAAATGTCGAAGATGACTGTATGATATCTAACGACCGCGAACAAGAGGAGGTCGACAAGCCGCTGAGGGGATAACTACGTCGTGCTGTGTCGGTCTGCTGGGGCTCATTTTGCCGGAGGTCATCATAACCTAAGCAAATTCTATGAGATTTGACGCAGCGTAGGCATGATGGACGCGTTGAATCACAAAGTATGCGCCTTAGTCTGCAGCTCTTGCAGCCTGTGCTGGGGTGGCCTGGATTGACCATGTGGTTCTAGCATTTACCTTACGTTCCCCGTTATATCGCCAGAAAATCGGAGCCCAGCAATAGAGAGACAACAGGCGCAAAACGGAAAGAAGGCTGCGTATTAGTCGTCCTCCACGGATTATGTTCTTCTTCAAGTGCGCCGAAAGAGGTCGGCTGTTAAAGACTCTTTAGATTACCAGGTGGAGAATGCAAAGGCCGCTCCAATGACAAATATGCTTAGACATGCGCTAGCATTCTCGCATCAACCACTTCGTAGGGTGGACCGCATGTTTCCGACGGAAAGAATGGCCGAATGCACGGAGTCTGTTTCGCAATGTATAAATACATAGAAAAATCGGGATTCTTTCTCAACTGCTATCAAACTTCTAAAAACAAAATTATAATTCCCTTTGATCCGATCACAAGGCTCAATCGCATTATGACCGCCGTGGACGATAAACGAGCACCGTGCCTCTTTATTTCTCATGGCACAGGCCCCTTCCCCCTGTTGGATCCTGAACAACAAGCGTTCAGGGAAATGTTACGGAAGCACGGCAGTAAACTTGACGGTGTCAAAGGCATTTTGTTTTTCTCCGCTCATTGGGAAACCAAGCAACCACATATAACCATGGGCGATGAGCCTGGTCTATATTATGACTATGAAGACCAAAGAGCCGTGCTCCCAAAAGAAGCTTTTGAGTTTCAGTATGCTGCAAAGGGTGACTCGCAACTAGCAATACAGATTGCAGCACAGTTACGACACAGAGGCTTCAAACCAGTCTTGGAGAGTCGAGGCTTTGACCATGCCGTTTACGTCCCAATGATCCTAATGAGGCCTCAGGCAGACATTCCTATTGTGCAGATGTCTGTTCTACGTGGGGAGACCGACATTGAGTCCACGGAACTAAACATTCAATTGGGACAAGCCGTAGAGTCCTTTCGAGATCGGGGATATGCGGTTATTGGAAGCGGAGGGTCGTACCACGACTTTCAGGCTATTGCGAAAGCCTATTTCGAAAATAAAATTGTCCCTGCTGGATCTTCTGCATTCGAAGATTTCCTAGAATCAGCCGCCTCCATTCAAGATCCAAAAGCAAGAGCGAAGGCCTTGCTGGGTTGGCGATCTCATGCTAGCAGCTACCTGGCCCATGTGGAGGGTTCGTCAGAACATCTCATGCCATTTATGGTTGCCGCTGGAAGCGGTGGGGGGCATGGAGGAGTTAAATTTGACATGTATACGTACAAGGGTGCGACCATGAGTCAATATATTTGGTAATGAAGTTTAGATACTCAGCTTTTGAAGAAAAACAATATGCCATTTTTCTCACACGTACAGCGTTGACGTAGCGTTGGTACGCATAAGCCAGCTTTAATACGCTGAACTCTGCATACCTTGCTGCGGGGAGGAACAGCTTGTGCGGTATACCTATCTCGATTGGCACAATTGATGCCCATTCAGCTTGCAAATATATACTCACCCGCACATTTCTTATGCTGAGAGCATGTGTACCGCGATAGCTAGGTAGTATAAACGAAATGAGTAACGGGGATAAATGCCAGTGTATTTATTTAGTTGATCTTGTGTAGATGTAAAACTTCATTTGGGTGCCCATCTTCTTTAAAATGGTATTTCACTTGCACAACACAGAAGGCAAGTTTAGGCAGAAAGTAGCATCTAAGCTAAGTGACTGCGATCAACGACTTGCCACTTAATAAACAGGAAATCCCATGCAGTAGATAGCGCGGCAGAGTATGGCCCTTTAGGCGTGTCTCCATATACCGATATAGTTGAATTAGCACTAGCATTCTCGCAAGAGAGATCAGCTGTATAGGGGAGTTTGGTTGGTTAGCGAACTCGGTAAACTCTTAAAGCGGAAAAAGCTCTCGTCCCCGTCATTACTGTATTACCCCAAGCTATTATTACACTAGCAGGGTAAGCTTCCCTCCTATATCTACAGGTACCCTACCTTTTAGGTACTTAACTACTAAAAACCCTTACTTAGTTTAATTAGTTATTAAATAAAATAATATTAATTTTTACTTTTATAGTTTTATTTAAAAACTTTAAAGAAATAGAAATATTTATAAACCCTTTAGATATTTAAAATAAATTAAATTTTATTACCTTTAGATTTATAATAACCCTTTAGTTTTAGAAAAAAGTAACTTTCTTTAGTTTAAAAATAAAAAAATTTATAATTTTCTTTTTTGTTTT